GCCCCACCAGGCCTGCCCTGGCCTTGCCCAGCCCTTGGGATCCATGTCCTGCACCTCAGGGATCCACATCCTGTACCCCAGCCGCGAGATCTGCATCCCACACCCCAGCTCCAGCACACAGGATCAGCACCCCACACCCCAGCCCCAGCACCCAAGGTGCACATCTTGCACCCCAGCCCCTGAGATCTGCATCCTGCACCCCAGTACCCAGGATCTGCATCCTGCACCTTGCACTGCAGCACTCGGGATCCACATCCCACACCCCAGGGATCCTCATCCTGCACCCCAGCTCCAGCTCCTGCCATTCACATCCTCCATCCCAGCACCCAGGATCTGCACCCCACATCCCAGCTCCAACATCCAGCACCCAGGATCTCCATCCCAGCCCTAGCCCTCCGCACATCCCAGTCCCAGCCCCCAGGACCCACATCCTGCACCCCAGCCTGGCCCAGGGTTCCAGGATGGGGCAGGACCCCCTGGCCAGGCTGGGTGGAAGCGGTGCAGAGTTTACTCAGAGCTCACAAAAATACCCAGCGCTTTATTTCCACCCCAGAACCACAGCACAGCCGGTGCCACACGCATGCAGGCAGGGGAGACGGATGGAGCCCGGCACAGCGCAGCGGGGACGCTCACGGATGGACGTGCGTGCGGTGGGGACCCTCACGGATGGACACGCGTGTGGCAGGGACCCCCTGGAAGGCTCGTGGTGGGAGGGAGCTCTGTCCAGACCCCGGGGACAGCACAGGGGGCTCAGCAGTGGCCGCGTTCTCAGGAGGGGCAGTCGCAGGGACCCACGCTGGGCCGTCGCAGCTGAGCGTGGCACGGGATGACCACAGGGGTCCCCCGACTCTCTCCCGCTCCCCGCTGTCTGCCCCTGCCCGCAACCCCTGTCCATTCGCCTTCCAGGACCGCCCGGGAGCTGAGTCCTCCTAGGCCGTGGCCGTGGCCCCTGCGAGCCCGAGCAGCAGCAGCCCAGTGCCACCAGTGCTGCCCAGCCTGGCCATGCAGATGTGGGGGGTCACCACCAGCAACCTTTGTCCCGGACGGCAGCACCACTGCTGACCCCCAGCAGTTCCCAGTTCAAGCCCCACAGCACAGGGGGAAGCTGCAGGGACGTGAGCGAGGAACGCCAGCACCAGCCCATTCACCTTTCCATCCCAAACTGGGCTTGAACTGGGGCACAGTGCCCTGCGAGCACAGCGCAGGCCAGCACGGGTGCTCTCGGCATCTCCTGTGCCCCTGTGCTCTCTTGCCTCACTCCTGGCAACCAGCCCCGGACAGGAGAGCAGTGCCCAAAAGACCACCAGCCCCTTGGCCGAGGAGGAACCATGAGGCGGCCCAGGTGAAGAGGGGGCAAGGCCAGCCCCATGCACCCCAGGAACGTCCTCAACCTTCTGCCCACCCCAGCAGAGGGCCTGGGCAGGGGGTACTGAGGATCCCCAGCCTCCGGTGAGAACTCCAGGCACAGCCAGGGACAACGCACAGACACGTGTGGCACCCAGGACCCAGGGACAATCCTTGACGCGGCTCCACGGCAAACGCCCCCAGCCCTGGG